GCAGGAAGGACAAATAACTAAAGACAGTTATCAGACATAATTCTTAGATCATAGTGATTTTACTGAAATGAAAAATGTCTGGGTTAACTTTACTATTTCGCTAGAGAAAACGACCAAAATTAAAATCTGACAATTTATAACCTAATAGCTTTTGCAGATCCACAGTTTTTAAACTTTCCTGTGTGTTTTTGTGTGAGAATGTGTCATCTTCCACTTTCTGCTACAGACAACTACAGTATATAGTGCTTTAGTTAAATCACCTATGCGTCTACAGCAAATTACTTCACAGCAGTTTGTGTTCATTTCTTCCATTATGCCCCAGGGCGCAAAATAACTAACACCTATTTATCAGTTGCATCTCTGCCAGAATGATGCAGGTAAAGAAAGCCTACAAGAGGAATCCATGCCAACATTTGGGTATATACCATCATAAAATATGGATGCCACAACAGAAGTGAAGCCACAGCGACTGAATCAGACCCTGGGGGCTGGTTGCACTTGCCTGTTTCACTCAGCTCAGTTAGTTCCCTCTCACAGCGACTGAATCAGCCCCTGGGGGCTGGTTGCACTTACCTGTGTTTCACTCAGCTCAGTTAGTTCCCTCACATTAATCAAAGACACCAGGAGACCCAATAAAACTAAGTGACAGAACACGGTAACCATGAAAACATAAAATGTTTTCAGTCTCCGCTCCGTGCCAGCACTCTGTTTTCAGAGTGTCGTAGAAATGCTGTTAATCCTCGCTAAAATTAGGATTCTCAGCGACTCGCCAAGGCTCCCACCGTGCAAGTTCAACGAGGACCTCAATAAAATAACCTACTGGTAATGGAGGTAATTAAAGCTCATGACTCAGTGGTAATAAAGACCAAGAAAGACCAACTTACTCTCATAAAGTGAGATGTGACAAATGTGCAGTTTAGTACTCACCAATGCAGGCGTGGACTCGGACTGATAGCTGTGTTCGAAGAATGATGCTGTGTTTCTTTCCTCTCCTGTGAAAAAAAAGATAAACGGAGAGAAAGACCAATGTTATGTGGATATTAGGACCACTGAGACCATTTCAATGTGTGTGTACATGACCTTCTGTGTGTTACGCAGACAGCTGTATCACGATAACGAAACGTCTCTCTGAATCTAAGGCAGCCATCAATATGCCAGAAGCAGAGAAGTGCTGACAAAATGTATTGCTTAATGGCTAACATGCAAAGGTACAAAATGATCTTCAAGCTAAATTCTTTTTCAACAAATGGTACCGTTCGGTCTTATCTAAGCCCTTCTGATGTCTGCCATTTGAGCACAACTGGGAACATGAAGGATGGGAGTAATACGAAGGTCAGCTCCACCCCCTGTCTTAATGGAGATGTGCCGAGACCCTATCACTATCCTGTCAACTTCATACAATGTGTGAATGACAATCCACAACAAAGACGACAACAATGCACCCCAGTTCTATTCAATTGTCAAAGTGAATGCGGGAGCGGTGTGGCTGGCAGTCCTACAAAGGGTATTTTGCCTCTTAAGAAGCCCACTCTCTAAATTGTATATAAAGTCTGAGGTAACATTTGTAGAATGGCAATATTCTACATTTTTTTAGGATTAACAGGGATGAAAAGACTAAAACCAACAATGCGTTAGTCCATCTCTCAGCCTTAGGATGCAGGATTGACTCACCTAATGCCACACTGAGGCTGAACATTACTAAAGAATTAGTTGCCATCCCAATTAATTTGATAGAGAAAGCACATTCCAATCCCATGGTGTTTTATTTGCGTTAGGAGCCACTTTGTAGTTAAGATTTAGACAGACTGTGCCTTTAACCTCCTGACTAACTAAAGCAGCATACAAACAAACACAGTAGACAACTGTAGACAAGAGCACAGCAGGTAGAGTTGTGCAACACCCCCTTCCTAATTTGCTTCTCTCACAAATGGGCTTTGATGCCACCGTCACAGTGGCTGTGTGATTGTCCAGGCTGGCACGGTGCCAGCAGCAGACCATCACTCTTAGTAGCGATCAGACAGCAATGGCTCTGATGAAGAGAGAAGTCCATCAACGCAGAAGGCAGATTATACAGCTGTGTTCCCAATGCACAACAGCATTACTAGTTTACTGCACAAGTGTTCCACACACCCAGTCACCCAGTGGGTGGCTGTGCTGACATGCACACCAAGTAGATTACATGGCAAAGGAAGTCTGTATATGCTCACTGTTTATAAAATATAATATCCAGCCACAAGCAGAGGCGACACAGACGCAACATCTGTCAACATGGACCTTCACTGGTGAGATGAGACGGCAACGAGGAACTTAATCCCCTCTGATGCCGTTGAGGCAAATGGGTAACCAGAGCCATTTTGTCACGAACATCTGCTTTCTCTCTGCTTCGCTGCAACAGTATCCCTGTGCTTAACCGAGACCTGAGGCTACACAGGCCAACATGCTCATTATCAAATTAAACAAACGTGCATAGAATATAAGTGAGCCCCCCCACCACCACCACACACAAACAATTAAACATGAAAATTGGACAGACAGTGCTGCAGGCCTGTGAAGGGTGTAGCCTAGTGTTAACAGAAGTAACCATAACCTTAAAGAGTGCCAGCCAAATAACACATTGGCTACATGATGGGATATTATATTTGCTGAATTCCTTAGTTCTTGTTTGGTCTAATCTGTGTCTGCTCTGGCCTCATACTGTATAATCAACTTAAGCCACACTCCTATTAAATCTGATTCATCATGTGAAACACCATACTTCTGTTTAAACCTCTGTTGCTACCATTTAGACTGCAGTGACTACTTTTAATAATCTAATAAAATAAATAAGCTTGACCATTACCTAAAACATTAGTTTCTTACCTACTGTATGTCTTGCTTCCTGACTATTAGCTTTAATGGCAGCTGTGGAAACTTAAGAACTGTACCTGCCAACTGTGTATCCTACATTATTATGTCCTCTGTTCATCTCCATTCTCTTGTCACTGCTCTGTTGTACAAGACCACCGTAAAGCTCTGCCTTAATCCTAATACTCAGAGGAGCAGCAGTGGCTGGACCAGTGGATGCCTTCCAGCTCTCCATGCTCTCTGGCTGTATCTAAGGCAGAATTACTGGCTCTGTTCTTAAACCAACACAAAATGTGCACCCACAGAATTTGAATGCACACACACCTGGAATAGAGTAAAGCCAGCATTTCCCCTCAAAAATCCAATTAATGCCAGACCAGAAGGCCCCATAGAGGCCTACTGACTCAGCACTTCTAGGTGAACCAGCAGTGCCCAAGTGAGCCAGGTGGGGTAAAGAAGCTAAAGAATGAGGCTCGGCCCATAGGTTTATTTCCCTCAGAGGGGCTGCTCCACTAACCACTGGCCAGGTCACACACTCAAACACACACACACAATGAACAATCACCAAGCTGTTCTGTTCATAATACCTTTAAACTGCTCTGCAAACACAAAGCGGACAGTCGGTGTCGTATGTATTTCCCTCCTTGAAGTATAAGCAGTACTGTGGCTGACAATTCCTCTGGTTCTTTTCAAATGCACTTTTCCCTTAGATGAAAAATCTTGTGTGCTGTGAGTCTGCGGTACGATGTCCAAGTGGGTCGGAAAAATGAAAAATAATGAAAGTGGAGCTGACCTAAGAGAAATAAAAGGCTATTATGAGAAACTCTCAATATATGAGACTTAAAGAGTAATAACGGTGGGATTATAACACCCATAACTTCTAACGTGTTGTCGAACACATCAAGAACGCTCACTAAATCCAAGAAAGGCATATTCAGCATGAAACTGTTAGCTTTTGATGTGCATTATTTGTACCAGGGCAGTGAAATGCTAAGAAGAGTCTTCTTCAGCGCTGTGTCAGCTTCACATTTCACATGCTGAATCAATTATGCAGTCAATAATAGCACTTCATGTCATCTCCTAAAGACAAGCCAAGGAATATGCACTTGAAGGCTTACTTTACTAATCATCTGCCAATCAATGTCACATATTTAACTAAAAACAAAACCACGGGCAACACACAACTCCACACATGAATTCAATACGTTTCCTACTACATCAGAACCAAGTTCCCTTGAAAACTTAAGACAGGCTCCAGCTCTTCAATCTATGTAATCCATAAAAATATTCAACGGCTATAAACATCTGTAAGCACATTCCATCTGATCCTAACTATGGGCCCCCGCATACTTCATCTCAGCTCATGGCTACAAATGCAGGAAATTGTGTGCATGGGGTCAATCAGTCTATCACGGCTACAAACCTGGATGGCACACTGACTACCCAAAGCCGTGCAGATATATCTGAGCTCATGCCTGGGCACTACGGTCAGTTTATGACTAGATCAGTGATGGGACAGGGGATTTATGAGTCACAATCTCCTATAGCTGAGCTTCATAACACGGCGTGGAAATCATTATGGGCCTTAAGCTCCTGTGACGGGGGTATCTCCTGGCTCTGCAGCGCTCTGTCAGAGGATCACAATATAATCTCATTGTAAAGACACCTGGCATTAATATCAATTACACATGGATTCAAAGGCCAGTGATTAGGAGAGTTTAGGAACTGAGGCAATACTGTAAAAAAAGGTTTTATTTTCTTTCCAAAGAAAAATCTGAACTCAAAAATAATGAAAGCACCATTTTGAAGCTTCATAAATGGAGTTAGAACAGGAATGTTACTTGTAGGACTCCAACAATACCAAAACCTCACTGTACCACATTGCCACAATAAAATGTCCACAATATCTTATTTGTCTTAATATTAAAAACTGAAGGAAAAAAGTTGAAGGAAATACCCTTTACTAAATAATACATCAGCTGTTTTTGTATGGCTTTCTTTTTAATTTAAAGTGCTCCTGCTTTCCTTCTTTATTAAAATACAAGTAGCCAGTTACACAGTCATGACTTAAGCATATGCACAAAACTAATGAATTGTCATTGGCATTGGATGACTAAACTGTTTGTAAAACGGCAAAACAAAAACTAAAATGCAGCAGTCAGTAGCAGTCCTTTAATGAAATATCATTGCTGCAACAAGTGGAACCTGAGTGTTTTATTACCCCCTACAGGTTTACCTTTCTGTTTGGTGGCCGGGATCTCGTACTGGACCAGTCGAAGCTGCCCCAACCAGCAGGTGCAGTAATGAGCAAATTGCTGCTTGGCACACCAGAAGAAGGAGACAATGCCAAAATAAACTTGGAAAAGCCGCATAAAAGTGAGATTTGTGCTTTACTTGAGGTGTTTTTCAGACACGTGGTCTACTAAGACATCAACTTGTGAAGTTCAGGGAAAAAAAATCACTGGGAAGTACATAAATTCTCTCTCTGCTGTATGTTGAATGTTTAAGAGTTGGAGACTGTGGCTGACAGACCTCATGTAGTAAAAGGAGAGTGAAAACAAAAATAAAATGGAACAAGTAAAGGTGAAATGCCTCATCAGATCTTTTATTAGTCCACCTAACAAATCAACATGCAGCAAGCAGAACTGCCCTATTTATACAAAATAATTGGCTAACCACCTACAGCTCAAACCTCTTCAGACAAGACTGTGTGGGTTTAATGATACACATCCACGCCAGCCTGTGCCAGCTGGCACAGCTCAGGCCCTGGCAGGCTCACTCTTCAACAAGAGAAGAAGTGGACCACTTTAACCCTGCAGCTCTCAATAGCCTCCCATAAGCTCCTAACAATCTCAGATGGAACCGGGAACGGACTTACTGTCCAATAGAAACACCAAAGCCAGAGAGCAGCTTATGAATTCCCAACAAATAAATCCGTACGTCTGTGGTCACACCGACCAGGAATTCTCATGCCAACCTTTGGTTTGTGATCTTCTAAAGTGGGTGGCAGATGAACGATATATCAACATACTCCACAGTACATGAAAAAACATATGGAGTCAATAAAGTCACTGGCAAAAGAAAAGAGTGTGAAACAGAAATCAAACTAATGCAATTTTAAACCTTTCTCTTCTTCATCCAGGTTTAGGAGTTATGTCAACGCAAAGCCTCATTTAACTACACATTAAACAATACGGCTAAATTATAGGCTGAAAGCTGTGCTGGCAGGGCGGGTGTACACCTTGTAAGAGGAATAAGGTGACGCCACTGCTGCCACTCGGCCAGGTGGGTCAAGAATTTTAAGGGACATGAATGGATCAGTGCCATGGAAACTATGACACTTTAAGTTTGCTACAAAAAGGGCACTAGTACCATGTAAGAATTGATATTAAAAAAAAAAAGTAAATCAAATTATGACTACATATTATACAACTACATCAACGTCATCATGTGCTTTAAGACATCTAAAAAATCTAATTCAGTAACAACAGCGACTGAATCCTGGTTCAGTGAGACTGTAAAGACATTTAATGACTGATCCACAGAGGTATTAATGAGGATAATAACGCTGATATTCAACTTAAAGAGTCTTTTTCCTCTCAAATGTCAAAGTGCTGAAAGACATCTGAGACTAGAGGTCCCTCAGGTGGGGTACAGCCTGTCCACACAATCGCAGGAGAGCTCGATCAACTAAAGCCCAGGAAAGGGAATATTTCCCTCATGCATCTTGGAACGAGTATCACTAGGATTCAAAACGCTGTAATAGAACTAAATTAGGCACAGGAATACAGCACACAGGAATCTTAATGTGCCCACACAGCCAACCTGAACACACACTTATCACCTGAATCTCTCTCTGCCTGGCTCTCCTCTCAAAAACCAGTAATCACATCATTGTCTGACTGACTCAAACTACCAAATCACTTACTCTTAAATATAGTTTTATTTGTGGTTTGACCACAAAAACATGAACAACCTCTTCCTGGACAATCAGAGCCTGGCAAGTAACATACAACACATTATCCACCTGCAGTGTCAGTCGCTCTTGTGCCTTTTGAAGTGCAAGGAATATGGTCCACTGAATGACCAACATTTTAAAGAGGATTCTAAGTTTATTTCATGTTTTAACTTTTAGTGCAATAAGAGAGCATTTTTCTTTTCAGCACATTGTGAACAGGCAGTTGTTTGCTTTTAATATTTGGTGATAGAAAAGGCTCAGAGACAGACAGTAGCATTCATGATTGTTCCAGTATCTTACCCTCCTTCCTCCTGAAATCCCTCCAGGTCATCTCTCTGCTCTGCCAGGGTAGATTCCAGGTCCAGGTAGCTTCCATTATGGGACAGCTGAAGGGCACAGTCGTCAGGCTATACAGAGAGGACATAGTTAAACACTGATAAGTCTTCAGTGCTTGCAAGATTTTATCATTGACACTTAACATGTAAAAAGTACTTAACAATAAGCGGTAGATGTTTATACTGGATCCATTAAAGCTGGAAAGCCTTTGGTGCTTCTGTTAAACAGAAGAATGACTGCGTCTTTGTTTCAAACACATTATAGAGTTTATAGTATAGTTCATCACTTACCATTTTACTTTAGCTATGGATGGATACAAAACATAACATATATTTTTATACAATAGGTCAATGGCCACTGGTATCTTAGAATTTATGTCAAGTTATCTGCAGTGGACCAATGTGGTGCCTCTTATCTCTCTCTGTCTGCAGTGGTGGATCTAGAAAATTTTGAATGGGTTGGCCAGGCTAGGGCACAGACAGAGTGGTGGTACATTTGAAATACATGTCAAAAGTAAATAAAACCTCTAGTTCTATGAATTAATGCATTATTAGGAATAAACCAGTTTTTTTTTGTGTAAAAATGAGACACGGTCCTTTACTTAGCTAACTATGGCTGCACTCCTTATTTACTCCCAAGGTTAGGGTTATTTTGACTCTGGCAGACCAGAGTACCAGCCACCCCTGGTGCCACGCCCTGGATCCGCCCTTGCCTGTCTGATAAACTATCATGACACAAGGGGATTTTGCAGAGAACATATGACTTGTCTGGTCTTGAATGATTGTCATCGGCTCACTGTTGTCAAGGAGACGAGGAGCGAAGAGTGTCTGTCCCCTTGTCTGGTCGACCTCTAAATTGGAGATATTAACCTATTTATATTCTGAGTCTGTCAGCTCTGTGGGACAGCAGCTCCAACAGTGAGGCAGAGGACAGGAAAATAAACACCATTATATGTGCACATATATAACTGGAGAGACCTGCACCACTGTGCTCCATCAACAATCACCATGTCTAAAACAACAACATAATGCACAGCCCACAAATAAACCAAACTCAATAAATGGGGCTTCCCTTCTTGTCAGCCCACTTTGAGGTCTCTGTAGGGCAGCAAATAACTATAATACACTTGTTTTTAAAATAGTCCATTTTTACCCACATGACAGTAACATAACTGGTACAGCTCGCAGCTCCGCTCCCTAAAGCAGGCATCACGAAAAATGGAAAGGAGGTGGCGCTCCACTAAGTCAGAAGAGTTTTTCATAGCCCCCATGATGCTCCGAGTTTCTTTCCCCTCCCCTCCTGCTCTCCTCTCCTCTCCTCTCTCTCCCTATGCTTCTATATGCCA